AGTACCAGAAGGTTTACTCCATGGCTTGGAGGCCAGCCACACACGCTAGGGGAAAAGGCAGCCAGATAGAGAAGGGAGCACCAAATAATGGGTGTTGGGAGGAGTTTCCCAAGATGGGAGATGCATGCTGAAAGTAGACTATAGACCGAACATGATTGCCACTCAATGCCTCTTTAGCAAACCATAGCACCCAAAAGGAAAGAGAGAACAAAAGGAAATGCCCTGCCACAGAGGTAGGGTGGGATGGGGGGTGGGGGTGGGAGGGATACTGGGATCAGTGGTGGTGGAGAATGGGCACTGGTGGAGGGATGGGTACTTGATCATTGTATAACTGAAACCCAAACACAAAAATTTGTAAGTCTACAACTGTACCTCATGGTGTTTCACGAATACAAATTAAAAAAAATAAAATAAAAACTGTACATGAACAGAAAAAAAATCCATCCAAATTTGGAGAGGGAATTGCATTGAATCTATATATTAATTTAGGTAGAATAGTCATTTTGATAACAGTGATTCTTCCAATCCCAGCGCTTGGAATATTTTCCGATTTTCTAAGGTAATCTTTTTTTTTGCTTTTTGGATCACACCCAGCAATGATCAGGTGTTCCTCCTGGCTCTACACTTAGGAATTACTCCTGGCGGTGCAGGGAATCAAACCCAGGTCGGCCGCATGCAAGGCAAATGCCCTCCCTGCTATACTATTGCTCCTGCCCCTCTAAGGTATTCTTCTATTTCTTACTTAAGTGTTTGAAGTTTGCTTCAAACAAAAAAGTTTTTTTTCCAAAAGAAAGAGATCTATCACCTCTTTTTGTTGAGTGTTTTTATTACATTGAAGTCTTGGTAAAATTAAAGGGTAACACCAAAACATTTATAGGCTAACAGTAAATAGTCTATTAATATTATTTTTGGGCTCTGGAAATACTACAATGGGTTAGGCACTTTTTCTGCACGTGTCCGAACGTGTTCGACTTGGGTTCCATTCCCCACATCACATATCATACCTGGAGCCCTGCAGAAGTGATCTTTGAGCACAGATTCAGGAGAAAGCCCTAAGCACAGTTGTGTGTGATCCAAAGTAATAACTGACCCAATCAAAATATCACTGTTTTCATTTGACAGTCCACTCAAGTTTTCTTTTTTTCATGTTGTTAGGGATTAAACTCATGGTCCTCACACATGAACCCCCCAGTTAAGTTTTCCTTATTGGCAATTAAATTAGCGAATCAAGCCATATGAAGTAGGAAAAAAAGCTAAGTTCTGAGATAAATCACTACCCATTCCATTTTGCATGCCACACTGGTTCCCATTTTCAACATAGTAACAAATAGAAACTGTAAAGTCTTTGGTGCTCCATCATTTTTCTTCCTGACTCTACCCCCAGCCCCCTGCCCAGGCTCCAGCCTGCCTCTGTCTCTATGGCAGACACTATTCTTCTCACCCCCTCCCTCCTCTCCCCCATCTTCTTTTGGGTATTATGGTTTGCAATACAGGTTATCATGTATATTCCTTTAACTTCTTGCAGTGTCTCAGATCTTGTTCAGAGTGATCATTTCCAAATGTCATTGTCATAGTGGTCTCTTCTCTCTCTAACTGCCCCACTCCACATATGGCAAGCTTTTTACCATGGACCAGTCATCCTGGCCCTATTTTTCCTTTGAATATTTACCTTATACTGTGTTTTATTACTGTGTTTGGCATATTGAATACGTCAAGGGGAGCTTGCCAGGCTCTGCCGTGCGGGCGAGATACTCTCAGTAGCTTGCCGGGCTCTCTGAGAGGGGCGGAGGAATCGAACTCGGGTCAGCCATATTGGCTGCGTGCAAGGCAAACGCCCTACTGCTGTGCTATCGCTCCAGCCCGCAACAAAGTTTCTAATGGAGACGTTACTGGGCCCGCTCGAGCAAATCGAGGAACAACGGGAGGGCCTTTACCTTTATCTTTACTGTGTTTTATTATATCTGACAAAGCTACATAAACTTTTAGATCCGTTTGGAAGTAATGGGCCTTGGAATGGAGATTTACTACAGGGATTATAATCTTGTCTTGCACAGGGCCAATTCTTTTTTGATCCCTAGCAGTGCTAGAGTGATCCCTGAGCAGAGTCAAGAATAAGCCCCAAGCTTTTATATCAATAAAAAACAAAAACGAGAGTGAGATAGATAGATTGAGAGAGATAATGCCAGAGCGAAGGAAACAGTGGGCATACACTATGTATCTCTGATTTGGCATAATGCTTTTAGCTTATCTGTGCTAAGTTTTAGTATGTTTTTACACTCTTCCTTTCTATCTACATTTTCTTTTGTAGTGGTTTCCAAAGTCTAAACCCTTGGATTAGCAGAAACAGTATCTGTAGCTCTTGATACCATATTTGAAGATTCCATAGACCTAACCAGAGACATACTGAATCTGAAGCTCTCAGTGTTGGGGGAGGTGGGGCACTGGTTTTGTACTCAGGCATTACTCCTAGCAGAGAAGGTCCATATGTGGTACCAGGGAGATAACCTAAGTCATTTTTGTGCATTGTACTATTTCTCAGACCCGTGTATGTGAGAATTCTTACTGTACTATACTAAATTCTGTTCTTTTCTTACCTCCAATTGTAGCAATAAGAAATAAACAGTTTCAAATTTACAAAAATAAACAAACAAAAAATCTTTAACCTGAGGATAATGAAGTTCTGGTGGTGTGAAGTTTTTCATGACATAGAAACAATACAAAATGAATATTTCTACAGTCATGTATATCCTCCCAAACTATTGTATTTTTTATCTTAGTTATGGAAATTAGAGCTGAGGATTTGAATAATTCTAGAATTCTCAAGGTCCATTTATCTTAATTAACAATGCTTTATTTTTATTTAGAGGATTAGTAAGCTACAACTCTAAACCTAAAAAGAATTTAGTTCTACATTAGTGTAACCAACCCACCCCATAAGGTATTATGAAATATATAAATCAATGCTGAACCTCAGCAACAGAAGACATCTCATAAATCTTCCCATTGTTCCTCAATTTTTTATTTATTTCTTCTTTAGTTGCATCCTCTTATAGACCTTCCATGCACTTCAAGCCTTGACTATTAGCACAGCTTCTTCTACTGAATCAGTTAGTTTATGTAATCCAGATTAATTTCCTTTCAAATTATTTTCACCTAATTTCCCTCTTTAAGACAATGACTTTTTATTTACTATCATTTTCTACCTAAGCTCTTCTACCTAGCTTTAAGGCTACAGTATCCTTTCCATCCAATTTCATTTTGTACTATTTTTGAATCAGTGGGTCCCTCTTTTAGGATAACAAATTCATTTGTTCTTTCTTAGAGAAAAGTTGAAGAACAAAAGGAAAAGAAAAAGGACACCGAAATCCCTGATGGCAAAGGTTTATTTACAATTGATCACTTAATCACTTAATCCCCATTATTCATCGATTTATTCGAGCGGGTGCCAGTAACATCTCCATTCATCCCGGTTGCGTGCTAGCGTAGCCCAATGGTATCTGTTCGTTCGAGGAACATGCAGAGCCTCAAACCGATCATTTAGGGTCTTGACGAAGAAGTCTGACCATCTTATAGGTGGGCGTCCACGTGATCTTTTGATGTCCCGTGGAATCCAATCAGTAATGGCTCTAGTCCAGCGGTTGTCTGTAAACCTCATTACGTGTCCAGCCCATCTGATTTTTGATGTCTTGGCAAATGAGACAGCGTCCCTGATTCTTGAGCGTTGACGAAGATCAGAACTCCGGATTCTATCTCTCATTTGAGTGAATCGTAATATTCCAAGCATAGTTCTTTCGATTCCTCTTTGAGAGACCCGAATAGCGTTCTCATCCTGTTTTCGTAGGGTCCAGGTCTCTGAGGCATATGTTAATGCAGGAAGAATAGTGGAATCAAAGAAATGTGCTCGTAGCTGGAGGTTCTTTGTTCTTTTAGTTATTTCTTCAATGCTCTTGAAGGCATTCCAAGCCGCTCTCTTCCTCCTGCGCAACTCAGGTGTCAGGTCATTCATCATGTTGATTTCTCGACCTAGGTATATATAACTGTTGCATTCGGAGATGGTGGTTCCGTTGAGAGCGAATGGAGCGTCAGGAACAAGGCTGTTTCTCATAAACATTGTCTTCGTAAGATATAGCTGTAGTCCGACCTTTCCACATTCACGGTCAAAGTTGTTCAGCATTTGTGCCGCTTGGCTGATGTTTGGTGTTATTAGAACGATGTCATCAGCAAAGCGGAGGTGGTGTAGTTGCCGACCATCTATCTTCACGCCCATGTTTTCCCATTCCAGTCGTCGCATGATGTTCTCGAGGGTGGCACTGAAGAGTTTTGGGAGCTTGTTGTGATAATCTCTGGATCCTGGCCGTTATTGGGGTTACACGGCAGTTGGAGGGTGTAACTGTCTAGCTACTGACAGGTCCAGTCCCAAACCGTGCAGCCTTGGAGATCTCAGCCCCGGGTCCCACACACCTGGGTTCCTCTGTCAGTTCTGTTATGTCTGAGGCTTATCCAAGTGTGTGGAGAGTGGCCCCAGTAAGGCTTTGGTTGGGGCCTGGAGGTCTTCAGCTGTTGGGCCCTGGCGAGGATAGTCAGACACAGGGTAGGAGACTCTGCCTTGTGCTCTCCCGGGAGCTTGTTGTGATAATCTCTGGATCCTGGCCGTTGATGTTAAGTAATATTTTAATGCATGCTAAGAAAACTGTAATATTCCAATCAGATAAGTTTCTATATGATAAGGAATATAAGATGATACTGGGAAAAGCTTTGGCATATGCAATTATTAGAACCAGATCATCAGAACACTTATCTTTAACAGAACATTGTTATCAGAACATGTACATGTCATTACTTTATGCAACACCAACTTTTGAACAGCTTATCTTCTAATACTTCACTGAGTAATAACATTCAAGGTTATGCATTAAGACTGGGAAATAGGAAAGCAATGCAAAGTGTTAAACATCAAAGTATTTCAGAATCTACATATATGAATACAACGTTAAGATTAAGAAACAGTATTTCAATTTTTTCAGAAACATTTGACACTGTTTAATGCATAAGAAGACACTGCTTTGGTCCATCCACTTTTTCCAGCTTTTCAAAGTGCTTCCTGGCATTGCGGATATTGATCAGAGTAGCTGCAGAAGCTGAGAGGTAGGGGTGGATAAATTATCAGAAAAATCAAGTGTGGTCAGTCAAAGGTATACCTAATTATTAAAAACAATGAAAAGAACCAAATCCCTTAATGTATAACATAGAGAACGTACATATCCTAGCTTAATTAAGATTTTTTTTCTGAATGAATATATTTTTCTGATTAAGTAGATCTATTAAATTAGAAACATTAAATTCCTATAAAAATTTAGAAAATCTTTTGGCTTAGGACTAATAATATTTTATCATTATTTTAACAATATTTTATTAACAAAAATATCTATTATTTTATTAATAATACAAAATAAATTTATTGATTTTTTCTTTATATTATTATTTGTTATTTATACAGAGTCCACTATTTTGTACTGTATTAGAATGTAAATAGGAAAAGCCAGGATCAAATATAATTTAAACTTCTCGGAATATCTTTGAAATAATGCTAATATCTTTAATTTAATGGCTATGAAATACATGACTATTAGATCCTTGAAGCATCAAATACATCAATTTATGTCCATAAAACAAATGTAGGGATTTTGTACTAAGGAATAGACAATATAGCATGGATCATATAGTTCAGATTTTAGGTGAGTTTTTTAAAAAGTCTATATCATACGAAGCAAAAATCATGTATTTTGCAGCCCCTTTATTTAAGATCCCTATAGTTACTAAACTGTTATTTTGAGGGTGGGTGTTGGAGTCACACCTGGCAGTGCTCATGGGCTACTCCTTGCTTATTGCTCATGGCCGCGCGACCTCTTATTGTCTAGTTCTCACTTTTGGAGAACCTGACAGGCTACCGAGTGTATCCTGCCTGCACGACAGAGTCTGGCAAGCTCCCTGTGGCATATTCGATATGCCAAAACCCAGTAACAATGATGGGTCTCATTCCCCTGACTCAAAGGAGGCTCCAATGTGGCACCTGCTAAAATCTCAGGGCTATGATGAATGGAGCGATAGCACAGCGGTAGGGCGTTTGCCTTGCACGCGGCCAACATGGCCGACCCGAGTTTGATTCCTCCGCCCCTCTCAGAGAGCCCGGCAAGCTACTGAGAGTATCTCGCCCGCATGGCAGAGCCTGGCAAGCTCCCCGTGACGTATTCGATATGCCAAACACAGTAACAACAAAGTCTCCAATGGAGACATTACTGGGCCCGCTAGAGCAAATCGATGATCAACGGGAGGGCCTTTACTTTTTACTTTACTTAGGATGAATGGAGATGTTACTGGTGCCTGCTCGAGGAAATCGATGAACAACAGGATGACAGTGATAGAGTGATTTTGTGCTGAAGATGATTGTATAATAGTATAAATGTACTTGATGCTACTTACTTGTACACTTAAAAATAATTAATATATCAATAGCCAGAGAGGTTATTATAGGAGTTAAGATGCTTGTTTAACTTGTGGCTAACCCTGGTTCAATTTCTGGTTCAATGCCCTGGTTCACTGAGCACAGAGCCAGGAGCAAACTCCTGAGCTCCACCAAATAGTTGTAGCACTGTGGCACTGTCCTCCTGTTGTTCATCGATTCGCTGGAGCGTGCACCAGTAACGTCTCCATTGTGAGACTTGTTCCTGTTTTTGGCATATCGAATACGTCACGGATAGCTTGCCAGGCTTTGCTGTGCGGGCAGGATACTCTTGGTAGCTTGCTGGGCTTTCCAAGAGGGACGATGAATTGAACCCAGGTCGGCCGCATGCAAGGCAAACGCCTTACCCACTGTGCTATTTCTCCAGCCCACCAAATAGTTAGAAGAATAAATTATTACATTTTACCATTATTTTAAAATAATAATGAAGTACATCTGGTTTTAAGAATATATAGTTCTGAACACATGTCAGTTGAGTTAAAACTTACGAATGGATGGATCAGACATCACAACCATCACATAAGTGTTGGATGTAAAGATGTCAATGAAAGCAGCAAAATTAGAGTTCCTGATTTCCATGCTCTGGAAGGAAGCAGCCAATTTGCTATACAAGGAATGAGAAAAATGAGTAAAGAACATGACACTCATGCCTTTTATGTTAAAACATTTTCAGAACATTACATCTCACCTCATAACTCTATTATGGTAATTAATCACTAAACCTACTTGATCTTCATGTTAGAACTAGCTAATAATTGTAAAAGGAAAGCATCCTTATATGTAGATTAATGTTAAAAATCATGTTTAAAATAGTTCCCTAATATTTCAAAAGTTTAAGTTGAAATTCTATCACTGAAATTTAAAAAAAATCTTTTAAATGTTACACTGAAACTCAAGAAATTATCTCATTTAAAAATAATTTTATTTCATTGTATTTAATATTTGCCATTAAAATATATTAACATAAATATGGCAGAAAAAAACAGCACCAATAAAGCACTATAGGAGGTTCCTTATTTTCATTCCAAAAGAAATAATTAACAATCAGTTCCAATACTGAGCAAGTTTCACAATTTGTGATCAAATTAAAGTACCCCTTAAGCTCCCAGAGGAGGTACACAGAGGAGATTCACATTCCATTACTGGTGATAAGCTGTGAGGGAAAAGTCCCTTGTAGACGAGATACAAGGTATAGGGACACAAGATGGCAGATTTATCAACCTGGTCAGGGGTTCTAAAGAGGCAAGAGACAAAACAAGTTAAGAAAAACTCTTCAGCTACCCTCCATACAAAGGAGCTGAAGTACTCTGGAAAGGCTGGGATCTTGATAAGAACAGAGATGACTTCCTAGGCTATAGTATCCTTCCTTCACACCACAAGACTAATACTGAGCTCCAGAAGTGTACCAACAGACTTACTAGGTTTCAGATCTGGAATGCCACGAGAAGAGATATCAATGATGCTCAGTGATATGTAGACCTATGAACTAAATCTACATGCCCAGAATTTTAATGAAAAAGACTCCACACTTAACTCTGCTAACACAGAGTAACTGTAAATGAAGAGTAACTGTAAATGAAGATCCAATTAGCTACAGAAGCTAACACAGATGAAAACCAGATAAACAACAACAAAACAAATCAAATGAAGTCCAAGAGCCATCTTGTGGAAAAATAATAGTCCAAATCTCTAAACTGATGATCCAGAGTTTCAAATGCAGAATTAGGAAAAACTACAAAAAGAAAAAGTATAGTAAATTGGGATCCTTAAGGAAGTATGACATCACAGAGAGAGAACAACTCCAAAATCCAACCGCAAGGACATAGAAGATTTTATTTCTGTATAAAGTTCAAAATTGCTAGTAAAAAAATCAATAGAAAAATACTTGGAAAATAAATCAAAGGGATACAAAGAGGATTCAGAAAAACTAATCAAACAGAGACAACAAAACTCAGAGAAACAATCAGCTCCTAAATAATATGAGAAAACAGTAGTAAAACACAACCTTTGCATAAGAAAAGAAAATTATACAAACATAAATTAATAAAGCCAGAGTGCTAGAGAAAACTATGAAAACAGAATTAACCAAATGGAAGAACAAATCAGGGAGCTTGCAAATAGTAATGTACAAATGATTCAGTTGGAATAAGAGACATAATAAGGTGGTAAAAAAATGAAATAACTATGAGAACTGTCAGATTATATTAGGACAAGCAACATAAAGAGAATGAGTTTCCAGAAGGGAAGAAAAAGAGAAAGAAAGAAAGGAAGGAACCTATCTTTAGCACACAGTAGTGAAATTGTCAAGAGTTGAATAAGGAGTGCTAGCTTTGACAGCATATATATTTAAAGTTACAAGATCCAGAGAGTATAAAACCAAGCTCCCAGAAGAGAACAATGCAGGGTCTCCTGCCCCTATGCCTGGCTGTCCTCACCGGGGCGCCTTGGAGGGGGGCGGGTTGAGTTTCCCTCTCTGTCCAGAGCAGAGTCTCCGAAGCTGAAGACCTCCGGGACCCAGCCATAGTCATGCTAAATCACTCTCCACATGCTAGAACAAGCCTCACGCATGAAGGAACCGGCAGAGAAACCCAGGTGTGTGGGACCCAGAGCTGAGATCTCCACCCCTGCTCGGTTTGGGACTGGGCCTCCTCCACCCAGATCCCCCATCTTCTAGTAGCTAGACAGCTGCACTCACCAACTACCGTGTAACTCCATCAATGGCCAAGATCCAGAGACTATAAAACCAAGCTTCTGGAAGCACGCAGCTGCATTTGCAATCGTGTGACCTCTTATTGTCTAGTTCTCACTCTCAAAGAACCCGGCAGGCTACTGAGAGTATCCTGCCTGCATATATGCCCGACTGGGAACACCTATAAAGGTGATTAGAGGCTGCCCCCAAAGCCTCCATCTCTCTCGGAGAACCCGGCAAGCTACCGAGAGTATCCCGCCCAGAGAGCAGAGCCTGGCAAGCTACCCGTGGCACACTGAATATGCCAAAAACAGTAACAATGATGGTCCTCATTCCCCTGACCCTGAAAGAACTCCCAAATATGCCATCGGGCTACACTAGCACGTGACAGGGACTAATGGAGACGGTACTGGCGTCCACTCAAGCAAATCGATGAACAACAGGATGATAGTGATAGTGATATTAAAGTTGGAACAATACATAGAAGATTAGTATGGCTATTGTACAAGGATGACACAAATCCTGGAAGCAACTCATACATTTTATTTGCTTTTTGGGTCACACCCAGAGATGCACAGGGGTTACTCCTGGCCCATGCAATAAGAAATTACTCCTGGCAGTGCTCGGGGGACTACATGTGATGCTGGGAATCAAACCCGGGTTGGCTGCGTGCAAGGCAAATTGCCCTACCTGCTGTGCTATTGCTCCAGCCCCAACAAGTCATATTTTTAACACTCCCAGTTTCTATGAAGCAAATATTACTCTGATACCAAATGCAGAGAGATACCAAAATAAAAGAGAATTACAGATGAACACAGGTGCAAATATCTTCAACAAAATAAGTGCAGATAGAACTCACCAATTCATCAAAAAAGATAATACACCATGACCAAATAGGATTCATCCCAGGGATGCAAGAGTGGTTTAATCTACACAATCAGTCAACATAATACACCATTTCAATTGAAGAACAAAGAAGCTTTTTTTTTCATTTTTTTAAAATTTATTGAATCCCTGTGAGATAGTTACAAGCTTTCATGTTTAAGTTACAATCACACAATGATCAAATACCCATCCCTCCACCAGTGCACATTCCCCACCACCAATATCCCCGGTATAACCCCCTTTCCCACCCTCCCCCTGTATCCATTGCAGACATAATTCTCCATAATCTCTCTCTACTTTTGGGCATTATGGTTTGCATGCAATACAGACACTAAGACGTTATCCTGTTTGGTCCTTTATCTACTTTCTGCACACATCTCCCATCTTTTTTTTTTCATTTTCTTTTTTTTTTCTTTTTTATTAGTGAAACAACATGAGGTACAGTTGTAGATTTACAAATTTTTGTACTTGGATCTCGGTCATACCCCGATCAAATACCCATCCCTCCACCAGTGCCCATTTTCCACCACCAGGATAATATCCCTCCCCCCCCCATCCTCCCATCTCCCCATCCCCCCCTGCCACTGTGGCAGGGCATTCCCCCCTGTTCTCTCTCTCCTCCTGGGCGCCATGATCAGCCAAAGAGGCATTGAGTGGCGAACATGTTCAGTCCAGTCTACTTTCAACCTGCATCTCCCCTCCTGGGAGGATCCTCCAAACACCCTCCACTTGGTGTTCCCCTTTCTATCTGAATTGTCCTTTCCCCTAGAATACCCAGCTGGCCTCTAAGTTATGGAGTAATTCTCCTGGTGTTGCTCTCAGCTATTCTTGGGTATTAATCTCATATTTTATTATTTTATATCCCCCAGATGAATGCTATCTTTCTATGTCTATCCCTCTCTTTCTGACTCATTTCGCTTAGCATGATACTTTCCATATTGTACCACTTGTATGTAAAGTTCATGACTTCATCTTTTCTAAGAGCCACATAGTACTCCATTGTGTAGATGTACCAAAGTTTCTTTAACCAGTCATCTGTTCTTGGGCACTCAGGTCTCTTCCAGTTTCTGGCTACTGTAAAGAGTGCTGCAATGAACAAACAAGTGCAGATGTCACTTCGGCTACACGTTTTTGCCTCTCTGGGATATATTCCCAGGAGTGGTATCGCTGGGTCAAATGGGAGCTCAATTTCTAATTTTTTGAGGAACGTCCATACTGTTTTCCAGAAGGGCTGAACCAGTGGACATTCCCACCAACAGTGAAGGAGTGTCCCTTTCTCGCCACATCCGTGCCAGCAACGGTTGCTTTTGTTCTTTTGAATGTGGGCCAGTCTCTGAGGTGTGAGATGGTATCTCATTGTGGTTTTGATCTGCATCTCCCTGATGATTAATGATGTAGAGCATTTTCTCATGTGCTTTTTTGCCATTCGGATTTCTTCTTTGAGAAAGTTTCTGTTCATTTCATTGCCCCATTTTTTGATGGGGTTGGATGTTTTCTTCTTGTGGAGTTTAACCAGAATTTTGTATATCCTTGATATCAATCCCTTGTCAGATGTGTATTCGGCGAATATTCTTTCCCATTCTGTAGGCTGTCTTTTTATTTTGGTCACTGTTTCTTTGGAGGTACAGAAGCTTCTTAGTTTAAGATAGTCCCATTTATCTATCTCTGTTTTCACTTGTTCAGCCAGTGGCGTGTCATCTTTGAACATATCATTAGCCTCAATGTCATGGAGGGTTTTGCCAACTTTGTCTTCAATGTATCTTATGGTTTCTGGTCTGATGTTGAGGTCTTTAATCCATTTTGATCTTACCTTTGTACATGGTGTTAGGCAGAGTTCTGAGCCCATTTTTTTGCATGTAGCCGTCCAGTGATGCCAGCACAATTTGTTAAAGAGGCTTTCCTTACTCCACTTCACATTTCTTGCACCTTTATCAAAGATTAGATGATCATATGATAGGGGGGTGATGTCAGTGTATTCAACTCTGTTCCATTGATCTGCAGTTCTGCCTTTGTTCCAGTACCATGCTGTT